CCATACAACCCTATTGCTTTGGTACAGAAAAATTCTATGGCCGCCTCACGTCTAAACATTTTCTTTATTTTTTTTATTTTAGAGGAAAAACTTAATTGTCATTTTATGTGCTCAACATCATAGAAGTAAAAATCATAGTCTCCAAACAAGTTTGTTTAAATGTGTTTGCAAATGTTCTTTTTGTGTGCATTTCTAAACACCCCCCACCAAAGAAACATGCATATATTTAAACAGATTTTGCCACTGCAGAGTAAGTAGTAAGGAAATCTACACAATTATAGATGTTTTTATGGCCAGGCATGGCAGTAGATGCCTAGAATCCCAGCACTTCGGGAGGCCAAGGCAGATGGATCACCTGAGGTCAGGAGTTCAAGACCAGTCTGGCCAAGATGGTGAAACCTCATCTCTACTAAAACTACAAAAAATTAGTCAGGCATAGTGGTGCGTGCCTGTAGTCCCAGCTACTCAGGAGGTTGAGGCAGGAGACTCACTTGAGCCCAGGAGGCAGAGGGTGCAGTGAGCCAAGGTCACACCACTGCACTCCAGCCTGGGCAGCAGAGTAAGACTCCATCTCAAAAAAAAAAAAAAAAAATAGATGTTTCAAAATACTTAGGGTAATTGATATAGAACATAAAGACTTAGAAATTGGTTCTTCCAAGTTCTTTGTACTTCAGTGAGCTATCCTTTGGTGGACACTTCTAAATCTAACATTGTGTAGGATCTTCTTATACCATCTATTGGTACTTCAAAATGCTTGTCATGGGTATGGTATCAAATATTTGATACCTTTAATTAAAAATAGGCCAAAAAGGCAGGCAGTCGTGAGCATGAGTCAGCAATTGATCAAAGAGTATCTCTGCTCTATAATTAGAATCCATAGACCCTGATCCTAGTGCTTGATTAATTGGATTTGACCAAAGGGGCCATATATTTATCCTGACTTTAAATGTATAACTTATGGAATAGTAGGACTAATAGTTGTTCATCTTGTACTTCACAGAATTGTCATGATCTCATTTTACTTTTAGTTATTTTTCAAACTTGAGTAAAGTATTTTTATATGCACAGAATCCTAAAGTATTCACAAATTGGCATACGCTCTGTATATTATCCGTTTTCATAACAAGGAATGTACTTCAGGTTGACACACTGGGCAATTCAGTTTGAAGACATTTTGGGTGATTAAAATAATTTAGAGTTGCCAGTGACCGTGAGTTTCATCTTAGTTTCTTACCAGTATAACTGTACAAATGGTGCATTTTTCCACAGCTTTTCTTCTTTAAATAGATTTTTTTTTCCTTGCACTTAGAGGAAGTGTGAGTTCAGAATTAGATTGACCTGAGTTTGGCTCTTCTTTCAAAAGATACTTCCAATTCATTGGGAATATTGTCAACACTACACACAGAATAAGTTCAGAATCCAAATTCTTCTCTCCAGCTTCACTGGCCACAATGCTGGTCCAATCTCCTACCTGAGCAATATCGTAATAATCTCCTAGCTGGTCTATGTGCTTCCACCCTTGCCCCATAGTTTATTTTCCATACCAGAGTGGTTCTTCTAAAATATAAGACATAATATGCCTCTCTAATGCTCAAAAGCCTCCAGTGATTTCCCGCTTCATTCATTTCATCCATTCAAAAGTTCATTGGCCTACAAAGCCCTGAATGAGCTGGGCTCCCCTAGCTATCTCATCTCATCTCCTACCATTTCCCCATCTCACACTGCACAGCAGCCCCACTGGCCTCCTTCATTTTCCTTATACACACCAAAGAATGCACTTTTGCATGTGCTGTCCTCTTTACCTTCTGAATGCTGTTCCCCCAGGTATTTTCATGGCATCCTCCTTTACTTCTTCCAGATCTTACTCAAATGTCTCTTTAAGAAGACTTTTCTGATCATCCTCTATATCTAGTAACATATCACCTCCTTGCCTTTTTTATTTTCCTCTGTAGCACTTATTGCCAATGAAAACATCATATATTTATGTGTTTATTAGTTTGTAATCTGACTTCCCCCATTAGAATGTAAATTCTATAAGGCCAAGGACTTTATGTTGCTTATTTTTGTATTACCCAACACCAAGAATAATGTCTGTCTGGCATGTAACAAGTGCTTTAAAAATACTTGGTGAAGGAATGTACATAACTTGTTAATTGCTTGACACTGGGCAAATTGAAAATTATTTTTTCTTATCTCTATAATAGGGCTAATAATTAATATTTCACAGTTATTACATAATAACATGAAATATGTAAAATCTCTATAGCATAATGCTTGCCAATTATAGTTTTTAATACATAATTTTTCCTTTCAATTCACTATGATTTATTCTGCAATACAAACTTTGAGAATGACTACTTAATTTATAGAAAAATGTATGATAATGAATTTCACCAAAACCTTATAAAGGTGGGCCAACAGCTAATCATCTTTCAAGACTCAGCTCTCACATATTACTCATTCCTTTTATTTGTTGGTTTATTTAACTTACTTTTCTTTTTTAGAGAAGGGGGTCTCACTATGTTGCCCAGGCTGGACCTGAACTCCTGGGCTCAGGTGATCCTCTCACCTCAGCCTCCCGAGTAGCTGGGTTGCTAATTCTGTAAAGACTTTCTCTAACCTCTCTGAGGTCTTGACCTTTACAGTCATTGTGATCCATGGTACCCTCTAACCACTTCTGGCATAACAGCAATTCATTATACATACTCCACTATTTATTATTTTCCCACATTAGACAAGTCCTTAATGCCAAGTTTTATTTACCTTTGTATTCAAGTCAAGCAAATATTCAATAAATTTATGTGCAATAAAATTAGGCATTTAAGGCACATACAAATAAAAATATCATTCCCAATACCTATAGAGAGAATGGTCTGATCAATCTGTGGAAAGCACACATATAAGAAACAATTTCAGTGTATGATTGTAAAGCCAAATGCTGAAAGTCGAGGGTTAAGTTTCTAGCTATGGCATTATAAAGTGGTCAGGTGAACCCTTATGCAGGTAACAATGATAAAAGCTGGACAAACATTTATTTAAAACAATGATTTGAAGACTCTGGAGAAAACCAGAAGTTGCACACAGTTTATTCTTGAAAGATTGTAACAGCAGCAGGTAAGAATTGCAATGTGTGTGTGTGTGTGTGTGTGTGTGTGTGTGTGTGTGTGTGTGTTTTGCCTGAGGACAGTTTGCAATGCCCAAAGCTCCTGGGACAGAAAACTACAGTATTACTGGTGGAAGAAGACAGAGTACAGAGCTTTCAGAGTAGCTGGAACTTTAGGAGGAAATCTTAGAAGGAAGAAAACCACAAAAGGGATAAGGCCCAAATTCTGAGTGTAAACTCTACCCAAATCCCTAGCTGACTGCTAAATTATGGATAAGTAGAAAAGACCACATGGGGATAGCAAAAGATAGGTAGAAAAGAGAGAATAATGTATCTGAACATTGTATCAGAACTATCTCAGGCAAGATCTATGACTTTGTTGGTCTTTGACAGCGTATATTCCCAACCTGAATGCAGCTGAGGCAGCAGAAAGCTGAAGGCTTAATGGCCTGAGATGCCGGAGGAATAGTTGGAAATTGTGGAGAGTTGGAAGGGGTAACTCTGAAATTAAGGGAACTACAGAGAGTGCTACTCCAAATTGAATTTTAAAAATTTCCCCAATCCTTGGCTAACACCAGAACTATGTAGATCATAACTGGAATCTATAGGTAGGAAAGAAGAATGCTGGAAATGGTAACTCTATGGGTAAATAGATATGTAGTATATTGTACACACATACATTTCCTCGCTTTATTTAAAAGATACATAACTGCTAAAAGCAAATATTATAGGACTTTGTTACTAATATGAAGAAGAAGGGGTGGCACTACAGACCTACAAACATTAAAATGGGAATATTTAAACATAAAATAAGGGAATATTTAAACATCCTTATGCCAATAAATTCAATGGTTAGGTAAACAAATTACTTGAGAGACCCAAATTACTAATTTTGTTAATAGAAAATAGAAAATATAGGCCGGGCGCAGTAGCTCAAGCCTGTAATCTCAGCACTTAGGGAGGCCGAGATGGGCGGATCACGAGGTCAGGAGATCGAGACCATCCTGGCTAACACGGTGAAACCCCGTCTCTACTAAAAATACAAAAAAAACTAGCCGGGCGAGGTGGCGGGCGCCTGTAGTCCCAGCTACTCCGGAGGCTGAGGCAGGAGAATGGCGTGAACCCGGGAGGCGGAGCTTGCAGTGAGCTGAGATCCGGCCACTGCACTCCAGCCCAGGCTACAGAGCAAGACTCCGTCTCAAAAAAAAAAAACAAAAAACAAAAAACAGAAAATAGAAAATATAAATAGTCAAATATGTATTAGAGAAATTAAATTCAAATTAAAAACTTTCACACACATAAACCCACACAACTCCAGGTCTAGATGGCTTTACTAGTGAACTGTATTAGACAGTCAGTAAAAGAGTAATACCAAGTCCACAGAAACTGCATAAGAAAAACAGAAGGTGTGACTTCTGTTTTTGACTTATTTTACAAGACCACTGTTACGTCAATACCAAAACCAGTTGAAGACATCATGAGAAAGAAAACTATAGATTAATTTCTCCTGAACATAGACAAACGGAAAAAAATCTTTAAACTATTAGAAAATCAATCCTGCAATACATAAAGAGGATTAATATGTCATGACCATGACTATGTATTTGTAATTGCAGGATTTCAAACTTGATTTGACATTTAAAATCAGTTGATATGGCCAGACACGGTGGCTCATGTTTGTAATTCCAGCACTTTGGGAGGCCAAGGTGGGTGAATCACCTGAGGTCAGGAGTTCGAGACCAGCCTGGTCAACATGGTGAAACCCCATCTCTACTAAAAATACAAAAATTAGCCAGATGTGGTGGCACACACCTATAATCCTAGCTACTTGGGAGGCTAGGGCAGAAGAATCACTTGAACCTGGGAGGCAGAGGTTGCAGTGAGCTGAGATTATGCCATTGCACTCCAGCCTGGGCAACAAGAGTGAGACTCTGTCAAAAAAAAAAAAAAAAAAAAAAAAAAAATCAGTCGATGTAATTCACCATATTAAAAGAATAAATAAGAAAAAATATATAATCATTTCAATAGATACAGAAAAGGTATCTGGCAAATTTCAACACCCTTCGTGGCAAAACTCTTAACAAATAGGATAGAAAAGAGCATCCTCAATCTGATAGAGGGCAACTGTGGAAAACCTAGAGGTAACATCATACATCACATTGAAATATTGAGTATTTCTCCTCCAAAGACGAAGGGATAGTCTGCATTTATCATATATATTCAACAAAGTACTGGAAATCCTAGTCATTACACTAAGGCAAGAAAAAAAATACAAAGCAAGACTGGAAAGGAGGAAATAAAACTGTATTTACCCATCAACAATATGATTGTGCATATAGAAAAGTTTAAGGAATTCCAAATAAACTACTGAGACAAATAAGTGAATTTAGCAAAATTATAGGAAATAAAGTCAATATTAAAGAATAAATTGTATTTTAGATACTAACCAAGATCCCTTGGATATGAAATTAAAGGAACAACTACATTCACAACAGCATCAAAACATATGAAATAGTGATAAATTAAATTGTTCAATGTCCTTAGTCTTATCCTTAGTCTTTGGGAAACTGCAAGTTAAAATCACAATGATATACCTCTACAAACCCACTAAAATGACTAAAATTATATACTTAATCATACAGCCCAGGCATTTTCTCCTAGATATTTGCCCAAGAGAAATGAATACTACATAAAGATTTACATACAAATGTCCATAGCAGCTTTACTCAAAATAGCCTAAAGCGGATACAATCCAAATGTTCATCAACAGGCAAATGGATAAACTAATTGTGGTGTATTCATAAAATGAAATAAAACTCAGTAATCAGTAGGGGAAAAACAAAAAACATAAGTTACAGATGCATGCAACAACATTGATGACTCTCAAAAACTTTATGCTAAGTAAGAAAGCCAGGCCAAAAAGAGTACACACTGTTTACAGAATAATCTGAAAAAGGCAAAAGCAATCTGTCATGATAGAAAGCAAATCAGTTGCTTGGGGCTGAGGGTGGAGGCAGAATCTACTGAAAAGAGATATTAGGGAGGCCTGTGGGTGACGGGAAGGATGCTCCATATCTTGTAGTAGTGGTTTACTCAAGCATACACGTTCATCAAGATTGTATGCTTAGAATGGGTGCATTTTATTGTATGTAAATTATAACTCAATGTAGTTCTTTAAATGTGGCTTTGTAATTAATATTTCACAGTTATTGAGATAACATAAAATGAAATATGTAAAATCTCTATAGCATAATGCTTGCCAATTATAGTTTTTAATATATAATTCTTTCCTTTCAATTCACTGTGATTTATTCTGCAATACAAACTTTGAGAATGGCTACTTAATTTATAGAAAAATGTATGATAAGGAATTTCACCAAAACCTTATGAAGGTGGGCCAACAGCTAATCATCTTTCCAGACTCAGCTCTCAAGTATTACTCACTCCTTTTATTTGTTGGTTTATTTAACTTACTTTTTTCATTATAGAGCTTAGAAAAGAGGGGCTCTTAGGGGTACATCATCGAAAAATTTCTTTTCTTTGTTTTTTACCTGCAAACCTAATTCCACTGTGTGTTACAAATTAACATGGCTGATAAAAGCATTCTAGTTAGCCTGATAAGAAAGATAAATAAATCACACTGAAATCAAACCGCTAGGATTCCTGTTAGGCTCAAGAGCTAGTAAAGAAGCCCTGTCCCTCAGGAATACAAAAAGTTGTGGTGCTGGAGATGCAATCACCACAGAAAATAAAACCCAAAGGGCTGGGGAGGAGGTGAAAAGAGGATAGTGTGAATACCAACCTGGCTCCTTTGCTGGGAACTCTTGTTATCTTGTTCTGTATTTATCCAGTGCTGTATTTAGAAAAGATTAAATCAAAACTGTGAAATTAAAACATGATGAGTGACAGTTCTGAGAGACAACAGCTGTGGCATTAGATTTTCATCATGTCAGGCCTGAGATCTGTATTTCAGGTCACTTTTTTCCACTGGCACTGATCCTGAAGGACAAAAATTATCTTTCTATTGGCTCTTTTCTAAACCACCTGTTGCCTCCATGAGGTAAAAGATTAATAGGGTTTGAATGGGAAGTGAGCCATTTCAAAGGTCTGGGTTGAATGGGGTCTTCAGAGAGCACTTACCTCAGGAGTTTAGGCAAAATATCACCTGGTGTCATCAGCAATAATAATCCCGTGTGTTGTACTCCCCTTCTAGGTAGAGAAAACCTTTGAATCACAATACATATTTCAAATGCACACTCTAATACAATTAGAGAGTTGAACAAATATCTATTGTTTTCTGCGGTATATGAAAAAACATATCTTTTGAAACAGTTGTATCTAATACATTGTCAAATAAATCCCAAGTAACTAAAGAATTTAAGGCATTATGAGAATGCACCTTTCTTCCTTCTTTTTTTTTGAGACGAAGTCTTGCTCTGTCACCCAGGCTGGAGCACAATGGTGCGATCTCGGCTCACTGCAACCTCTGCCTCCCGGGTTCAAGCGATTCTCTTGCCTCAGCCTCCTGAGTAGCTGGGATTACAGGTGCCCACCACCACGCCCTGATAATTGTTTTGTATTTTTAGTAGAGATGAGGTTTCTCCTTGTTGGCCAGGCTGGTCTTGAACTCCTGACCTCGTGATCTACCCATGTCAGCCTCCCAAAGTGCTGGGATTACAGGCGTGAGCGACCATGCCTGGCTCCTTTTTTTCTTCTTAATAAATGCATAGGCCAGGGGTGGTGGCTTATGCCTGTAATCCCAGCACTTGGGGAGACCCAGGCGTGTGGATCACTTGAAGTCAGGAGTTGGAGACCAGCATTGCTAACATGGTGAAACCCCATCTTTACTTAAAAGACAAAAGTTAGCCAAGCATTGTGGTGCACACCTATAATCCCAGCTACTTGGGAGGCTGAAGCAGGATAGTCACTTGAACCCAGGAGGTGGAGGTTGCAGTGAGCCAAGATAGTGCCACTGCACTCAGGCCTGGGCAACAGAGTGAGACTCCATCTCAAGAAAGAAAAAAAAAAAAGAAGTGTAATTTCAAAAGTCATGAAACTAACCTTGTCTATAAAATAGGGTCTTGATAAATGGTTAAATATCAATATTTGGGTAAGCTGACTCTGGCATATCTATAAGATGGAATACTATCAGCAATAAGAAGGAACAGACTACCGATATACGGAGGAAAACTGATAAATCTCAAATTCATTATGCTAAATGAAAAAAGACCAAATTCAAAAGTCTGCATACTCTTTGATAACATTTACATGGCATTCTGGAAGAGGCAACATTATATAGAAAACAAACAAACAAACAAATGGGTGATTTCCAGGGGCTGCAGGGCAGGGTTAGGTTTGATTTCAAAAGGATGCGAGGTTGGGGGGAGGTAGGAGGTACTTCGAGGAGTGAAGGAACTCCTTGGTGTTTTCATTGTGGTGGTGGTTACATGACTGTATGCATTTGTCAAAGCTTGCAAAACTATGCACTAAAATGCATAAAAATTACTGTACATAAATCATCTTATCTTTTTCAAAATAATATTTCAAAGAACTATTTTTTAAAATGTGCTTTAATTTGAAGGAGGTATTTATGGTCATCACAGGTATTGCAGATCTGGAAATCCTCATTACACTCTAAATGTGCAAAATGAGTCATCAGGCTGTTCTATTAATAGAAAGTGAACTGCATGAGCTACAATATTTTAGTAAGGATATAAGCCTTATGAAGAGTTGTACATACCATTGTTGCAGGGAGTTTGTTGTTTTGTTTTGTTTTCACCTGTGTTTAGATGTAGTGAATAAGAATGAGATGTATATTTGAAATTTGCTCTTTTACATTTAAGGAATTAGGACACTTGATTTTTTTTTTTTTTTTTTTTTTTGAGACGGAGTCTCGCTCTGTCACCCAGGCTGGAGTGCAGTGGCCAGACCTCAGCTCACTGCAAGCTCCGCCTCCCGGGTTTACAGCATTCTCCTGCCTCAGCCTCCCGAGTTGCTGGGACTACAGGCGCCCACCACCTCGCCCGGCTAGTTTTTTGTATTTTTTAGTAGAGACGGGGTTTCACCGGGTTAGCCAGGATGGTCTCGATCTCCTGACTTCGTGATCCACCCATCTCGGCCTCCCAAAGTGCTGGGATTACAGGCTTGAGCCACCGCACCCGGCCAGGACACTTGATTGAAAGAAAACTAGAAATTTTTCACCAGTAGATTGCTACATTTAGTTTTGGAATGCTCTATGTGTGTCTTTTAATTATCTTCACAAATTGTTAAAAGTGGATAGATTGTTTAGCTTGTGCCTATAAATTCTAGCTTTACAGCCTGAAAATGTATTTACACACCTATTTCTTCATCTTTTTCTCTGATAAAGCGCTAATAAGTTTATCAGAGAAATTCTATTGAAGAACCATGAATTTCCCAACTGAAAGTTTCTGCTAAATGGTGAGCAGAATAAATGGAATACCCTTTAGTAAAAACAATACCCTAAAATTACAGAAAGCTAGGAATAGCTAAACTAAAAATAAAGAATAGGCTGCTCTGTCTACGCAGTAGCCATTCTTTTATTCCTTTACTTTCCTAATAAACTTGCTTTCACTTAAAAAAAAAAAAAAAAAGAAAGAAAAGGATAAAGAAGGCTGGGTGCAGTGGCTCATGCCTGTAATCTCAACATTTTGGGAGGCCAAGATGGGAGGATTGTTTGAGCCCAGGAGTTCAAGACCAGAATGGGCAACACAGCAAGATCCCCTCTTTGAAAACAAGAGAAAAAAAAAAAAAGAAGAAGAAGAAAGAGAAGAAATTCAAAGGTTAGAATGGAAAAAATAAAGAATTAAAATTCAAGCTTTCATCTGACTTCTCATCTGCAATACTGTTAAGACAATGAAGCAATGTTGTCGGTTTTTGAAGGAAAATGATTTCAATCAAGAATTCTAGACAGCTTAAAAATCAATTAAATGGGCCAGTTGCAGTGGCTTATGTCTGTAATGCCAGTATTTTGGGAGGCTGAGGTGGGTGGATCACCTAAGGTTAGGAGTTCAAGACCAGCCTAACCAACATGGAGAAACCCCGTCTCTACTAAAAATACAAAATTAGCCAGGTATCGTGGCACATGCCTATAATCCCAGCTACTTGGGAGGCTGAGGCAGGAAAATCATTTGAACCTGGGAGGCAGAGGTTGTGGTGAGCCAAGATTACTCCATTGCACTCCAGTCTGGACAACAAGAGTAAAAGTTCGTCTCAAAATAAATAAATAAATAATCAATTAAACGTAACAACAAAAAAAACATTTTTAGATATGTAGGCATTAGTAAGTTTATCTTTCAGGCATTTTCTCTTTAAAGATACTTGAGAGTAGAGGGAATAAGTCAAGGAATGAAGATATGGGATCTAGAAGACAGTGGCTCCAGCCTAATATTGCAATGTACAGAAGTCCCAAAGTAATAGCTGTTCAACAGGGCTAGAAAGCAATCAGTTCAAAGAGGCCAGAGGGATACCAGAGGCTGGAGGTCTCCCAGAAAGAAAAGTTTCCATAAACCAAGTAGTATGTTGGAGAACTTTGGAAGAAATTACGGTCGATAAAAAAATTTTTTTAAATTAGAAACGCTAGGAAAAATATTAGATTGCAGAAAAGGACATGCAATTATATATCGATTTTAATCCACAGTTCCTGGCTCATAACTCTCATAGCTTTCATTATAATATTTTGTTATAATGTTGAGGCACTTAAGGCCTCAGAAGCAAGCCTCAGAAAGCAGAATCTTTTTCTTTCATCTTCTCCTGCCCTTCCTTTTTTTTTTTTTTTTTTTTTTTTTTTGAGGAAGAGTCTCACTCTATCACCCAGGCTGAAAAGCAGTGGTGTGATCTCAGCTTACTGCAACTCCGCCTCCCAGGTTCAAGCCATTCTCCTGCCTCAGCCTTCCAAGTGGATGAGACTACAGGCATGTACCATCATGCCCAGCTAATTTTTTTGTATTTTTAATAGAGACAGGGTTTCACCATGTTGGCCAGGCTGGTCTCAAACTCATGGGCTCAGGTGATCCACTCGTCTTGGCCTCCCAAAGTGCGGGGATTCCAGGCGCGAGCTACCGCTCCCGGCCTTCTCCTGCCCTTCTTTCACCTGCTCCTTTTTGTCCCCAAGGAAGGACCCTAATCTTCCCCTGCCTTTCAGAAGAATTCATGCCCCATACCCTGGAGGAAAAAATGCTGCACAGAAAGGTCAAGAAAAATCTAAACAGACAGGCCTTGCTGAGTTTTCCCTCTCAGCCCATTACCTTGAGATCATGCTTTTGTGTCCAATCACATTTCCACATAGTTAGCAATCATGCCAATCCAATGTAGTCTCCACAAAAGACCCAAGAGAAGGATTCACAGAGTTTCTGGATAGCTGAACATGCAGATGTTCTACGGGGTGGTGTGCTCAGGGTGGGCGTGGAAGCTCTGCTCCCATTGCCCCAGGCCTTTCCCTATGCATCTCTTCATCTGTATCCTTTGTAATATCCCTCATCATAAGCCAGTAAACAACATAAATGTTTCTCCTAGTTCTCTAGCCTGCTTTAGCAAATAGATAAACCCAGGAGGAGGCTGTAGGATCCCCAGTTTATAGCTGGCTGATCAGAAACACAGGTAGAACAAGCTGCGGCTTGTGACTGGCAACGGCAGTGGGGAAGAGGGGCAGTTTTGGGGAGGTAGGTCTCAGCCTGTGGGATCTGACACTATCTTCAGGTAGATAGTGTCAGAATTGAATTAGAGGACACCCAGCTGGTATCCACGGCAGAAATGATTGCTTGCTTGTTGTGTGGGCAAACCCCTCCCCATACTCACTCAGAAGTGTTGATTGTTGTGGCAGAGGAGAAACAGTTTGTGGTTTTGACTTTGGTCAAAATCCATTAACGCATTCTGTTTAAGTGTGGAGTCCTTATCATGGCATTCATGATTCACTGTAATCTCAAGATCAGTTACCATTTTGGATTTACTTTCCTCATATGCCCCCTACACTCCAGTGAAATGAAACCATATCCACCATGCAGCCATTGATGCAAGCATGTCAAGAGAGGGAGACTTATAAGAGCAAGCAGTAAGGATTCTGAGAAGCTGATATACCTTGGTCAAATTCAATTCTATCAGAAAGCTTTGAGCAGTGGCAGTATGGTAGCCAATGCAGTTTATCCAAGGTGCTATTATTATTAATTGAAAACTGTTCCCAATACTTCACTGTA